ATTTCTAGAGTTCCGACAGAGTTTTGACATTCAAAAATGAGCGCCAATGCCTCGTGGATGGGCGCATGACGAAGGCGTGCCCGATAACTCTTTCCTTCAATCGCCCGTTTTGCTAATATTCCAACAGGTTCTGGTTGGAAACGGCGATGTCTACTCTGCCTGGTCGTGATCATACGTCCGGTTCCACTCCCTCTTTAGATGGAAAAGGGGGTACAGAATCAGCACTGAAAGGAGGAAAGTCAACAAAAAGGACAGGTCCTAGCTATGGTGCGCCGCTATCCCGAAAACTCTACTGCTGGCCTGATTTATTCATGCAGTATATTACCGTCTATACACCAAACTTGGTGCATTTGAATCAAATCACGCCCTCTACCACAACAACCGTTTCATTGGTCGCGTTCCATCGAATTATTTTGCTCCTCCTCATACCGTGGCGTCTATCAAGCGGTCCCTGTGCAAAATCGAGGGCCTCTCTGAGCCCGACAAGGCACTTGTCTTCACACCGCTCTCAAGCCCAGCACCTAAAGAAGACTCTGCCCGCCTCTCTTTGTATGCTCCTTCCGGCCCAGGCCTGTCTGAACAAGATCCGATAGTGTTGGTTGTCGAGTCAGAGACGAGGACAGAGGAGGTGTCGCAATCAGAGACACTGCCGGAACGCTCTGATGATACCGATAGCCATTACGGCAAGTCTTGTTGACGTCTCCTACACAAACAGTGCACTCATCAACTTTGCAGTATACTATCGCGTCTACTTATCAGAGGGAAAAAGGGATGAAAAGACGAAGACGTCCTTTGACGAAAGCGATATTTCGTTAGGACGCATCAACACCCTCTTCATCGCTCCCCCTCACTCTGTCGGGTCTTTGAAAGCACATATCGCAAAAGTCGAAGGCCTGGTCACGCCGGGTCATGCACTCTACAAGGAAATGGAACTCTTTCAAGACATGAATAGTGACGCTGCCATGAGCGACACTGATGTCATATCCTTCTCAGGTGACACTTTTCCGGGTAGCGATGAAGGCGATCCCGTAGCCCTTGTCAATGCAACCACCAATACAGTTGCAGACCAAAAGACTAAGCCTACATCAGGTAAATTTCTTGGGAAATATCCACTAGACACTGCGGCAACAAACCGTGCTTTTTCAGATGGACCAGATTCAAAATTCACTAAATGCGCTCGGGTAACTTGTGCTACCAGTGAGTAACAGTTCCTGAGATAATCCGATTCTCGTCCTATAGTATCCCATCGCAGACTACAAAGGAGGCGGATGCGGTCCCAACTGGCTATCGATGACACACAAAGATGAAATCATTTCCACGGATGGAGTTGTCGCCTCTGTGTTGAGTCTTGCTAGCGAGCGTATTTCTTTCCTTTTCCACTTTGTCACCAGTTTATTGACGCTTTGTTGGAACAGACTCTCATCCAGCATACATGGTGATTAATTCCAAGGGTGAAAAAGGCTGTGAGTCTCCAATTTGCCTTTGGGTTACTAGGTGGTTGTTGATTTTCTTTGGCAGATGTGGAAACGGGTGAGTGGTCCGATCCTCCCTATGTCGGAGTATTGGGTATCCACCGTTTTGCTAGTT